ATTATTTTAATTGATTACAATTAAAATCCGAAGTTTCCAAAGTCTATATTTCTCTTCAGGATGTCTCCGTTAAAAAAATATCAATCCAGTTATTAAAAAAAACCAATACTAATGTTATTTTTTACAATAAAGCTTCGGTTAATAATACGAATCGTCAAATAAGTCAAGTCGTCACTTTTAATAACTAAGAATGTTAGTCTTTACTGTTATTTTTCTCATCGCAAATCTCGTCCGAATCTTCAGCGGTCATGCCCAAGAAAATTTTCAATTTTTAAACGCTTCACCCCCCGAGAAGGTAACTCCCCAAGGTCACCAAAATTAAAGACCAAGAGAGAGAATCTTTTTTCCATGACGACGGTCACGTATTCTCGCTCTACAGAGGACACGCGCGGCCCTAGAGGACAACTCTCTCCCTTAAGGAAAAGAGAAAAAAAGCCACCCTCACCTTTGCTGTCGCAGACGTCGCAAAGCACCATGTCCGCCGGCAACGAAGCGCGTGTATCCTACCGCGTGGCTGCATCTGCACTGAGATATTTGACGTAGGGCGACATCGCGACGGGAGGTGGCGGAGGAAATTGAAGACGGGGCAGAGGAGCGGGAGGAGGAGGAAGAGGAAAATGAGGAGACCGGCGTTCAACGACACTATCGATCGATCGGTCTGCAAAGTGTTAACGGTTTGACAGTCACGTTTACACTGGCGATGTAGCGCATCAGAACCGATGTATGGACGACCAACGGCCCCCAACGACGGGGTCGGAGGAAAAGGGGGGACCGTACCGATGTGACCCACTGTGGTGGGGATGCTCGGATCAATATTAGGGCGTAGACTCAAGGGCAAGGGCCGCCGGGGCCTATATGGGGTGTCGGTCCTCCAACGCGGCGAATTTCGGCGGAAGGAATTTTGGAGTCAATTTTTTTCTCGGCCGAACGGAAATTGAGATTTTGTAATATGCTAAAATACGAAAAAGTACATAAATGGTATGTTAATGCATTTCCTGAAAGCTAAATTTATCTCATCAAGGTCGTACTTTAAATTTTAATTTTACACTGTTAAATTCATAGGGTTAAATTAAACTCAATTTTGAGTAATTTTTAACTATTCCAGGTTTGCCACTGCTGCTACTCAATATGTAGTTAATTTAACTAAAACAATGTTAATTTGACTAAATCAATGGAGTTAAAATAATCCTATTTTGTTACAAACTAATAAATTTTGACGCACAGTGTAGTTAAAAATAAAAAAATAAATCTAATTCATGGTATTGGTTTAAATTTCATCTTCTAACCTTTAACAGTGTATATAGAGAAATAGAAAAACTAAAGATTAAAATAAAAGGAACTCAAAGGTTGCTAAGACAAATTGCTAATTATTATACGATCAACTACAGGCTTATTACCCACAATTTTTAATATTAGATCTAATTAACTTGATAAATTAAGAGTTTTTCTTAATAGCATTGTCAAAACATCAAGACTTTTCAAACGATTATAATAAACGAAAAATTAATCACGCTTCTCGTCTAACAAAGTTTTCTTTGAAAGTGAAAAAATCTAGGTGTCCAGTCAAATTTATGTAAACTCTGTTTCATCAAAAAATTTAATTAAAGTTTAATCACTGAAATATTCTACTCGCTACGAATGATAAAACTTTTGGCAAAATCTTTGTCAAGAAAAAAATCGGCTTTACACTTCTCGTTGATTCGAAATTCAGGTCAAGGGTTCTAGAGCACCCTGTATAAGGGAAACTCGTGCGTGCGTTCGTGCGTGCGTGCACGCGTGCGAAAAGGAATTCGGATACGATGCATCGCACGACGATATCGATCGCGGTTGTCGTCGATGCGTCCCATTGTGCCTAGAATTTGTAATACGCGACCTTTCGGCGCTCTCACGATCGCCGGGATCGGTTCTATCACCTTCGCCCGACTGGGAGGCTTACACGAGATTAGCGCGATATTAGGTGTGTTGTAAAAAATGATGGGCGTGTAAAGCGCGTAAAGTGCCGCTTGTTTGCCTCGCAATAATTTATGTTTGCGCCGATTGACATAAAAGATACTTTTTTTTGCTAATAAAATCGACGAAGAAGCGATCACATTGTGAGATATTCGTTTGCCCTTTGCCTTCCCGGATAATTTAATTGCCATAAGTTAATTAATGTCAAGTTGATGACCCCCGTTTCCCAAATAATTAATTTAGTCGCGAATAGCTGCTGTCTAATTAAGTTTCTATAGAAAAATGGAAGCTAAAGATTAAAATAAAACAACAAAGATTGCCAAGAAAAATGTCCAATCATTAAACGATAAACTGCAGGCTTTATTATGCATAATTTTTAATTATTAAATTTTATAACAGTTAAATAGATAATTGAGTTTTTTCTCAATAACATTGTCAAGGCACCGAGAGACTTTTCGAACAATTATAATAAAATTAATCACGCTTCTCTAACAAAGTTTTCTCTAAAAGCGGAAAAGTTAAGAGAAAATGCGCGTGTTTAGTTTAGAAAAATTGTTTAATCGCAAAGAATATCTTAATTTAACTTTTGATCTCAATAGTTATTCGCACTTTCCGATGTTTATGCAATCGAATGGCAAGTCTCGCTGAGGCAATCGCTAAAAAATGTTTGCATGTCATCATACCGTTAATTGCGCGCCGCCGCGCGTTCTCTCTCCTCCGTTTTACATGTATGAAAACTTTCGCGGCGCCGTGAGAATGCGAGAATGCAGGACGCGAGGGAGAAAACCTGCCCCTCTTCTGGCTTTCGGGACGAAAGCGCGGTATTACGCGAACGGCCAGGTATTCGAGCGTGGCAGCAGCCAAGCCGCGGCGATGGGTGCATAGTTCAAACGTAAACGCGGTATTTCACCGCGACGCGAAAGGATTAACCCCTTCGCAGCCACCGACGACCCGAGATCCTTTGATTCAGGAATTTTTCCCGAGACGCCTGCTTTACGAACCTTCCCTGAAGAGAGAGAGAAAGATAGAGAACGTCGGCTTCGCATTGCACGAAGATTATGTACGGTCAGCGTAATGTGACGATATCTATTTTGCGAGCGCAACGTTTCTTCGCGACGCGTCCGCGAAGAAAAATGGAATTTAATTCGCACGGATGGCGAATATTTTATGCGCTCGTGTGATTTCGATTATCCTAATTTAACAAAAAAAAATTTAATTTTAATATTTTTTGAAGGAAAACTCCGTTTCTCATCGAAGCTTTGAAAAAGAAACACGATTCTCTTCCCTTCTACTTATTCCTAAAATTCTTTTAAGAAGAAAGTTTAGAGATTTAATTTGACTTGCAATTTTTAGCTTTTGGGTTCTTTTTGTTTTATTATAATCCGTATAGTCCGCATGTTCGCGACACAAATGCAGCTGTCTTACTCGAGAATTACTGCGCGTATCAACATTCTTGAGTCATCGGGCGTACACGTAAGCAAGCAGAGATATAGTGTAGAGTCTACATGTAAGATGATAAGTCGCAGAGATAAGAATGCTTAGCTAGGATAAAAGAGCGGTGCAAGGTACGCCCGGAGACCCCGGAGAGTACCTTCTTACACGTTGCGCGCAACTGAAGGTGACGGCGATGCCATTCCGCTCGCTTTAAACACGCATTCACACACGGAGAACCAGAAAATTTCCAGGAAGCCATACCCGTGAGAACACACCGACACTTTCGGCATTTACCGAACCGCAGACCGCAGGTCACACTAATTTCTAATCTAATCTAATCGGACAATTTAAGGCAGGGCTTAACTTTCGGCCGGTTATCAGCTTATCCAATTAACTTCGTTATTTTAAAATATACCAGCAAGAATTTTATCATGAATTTAAAACAAATTAGTCAAGAATTAGTCCTGTATCTCTTCTCTCGAGATTCCTAAGCTGAAAAAGCTCACGGATAAAAAAAGGTGAAATTTATTCATGCGGAAATAAATGAGTAAATAAATGCAATGTTATTTCGGCTCGTAAATCTCATGCTCGAGGGGCACAGGGTTCGATCTTATATCGCCATTTGCATAAGTACGGCTCTCCAGCATCCTATATACAATTGAATGCTCGAAAAGATCGGGACCGTCATCAGAGCGCTCGGAACTTTCACTGCGGGACCAGAGAGAAGAGGCACTTCCGCGCGTCTGTTTCTCCGGTTAAATCCATACGTAGGGACATATGTCAAGGGGACATACACACACACACACGCACACTCTACATTGGGGACGCACTACCCTGACCTGCGGTAGTACCGCGAACGAGCGTGCGAGCGTGAGGGAGCGTCCAAAAATAGGGGTTTTTCAGCCCCCCGAGGGATCAATGGGCATGCCAGTCGTACTGTAATTTTAAACACCTCGACAAACGTCGCTAATTGAATCTGCAGGCTTATACAACGCGCCCCTTCAAACGGACGTCGAGCATTTAACGTGCCTGCGGGCATTAAACCGATAAACCTGAAAATTTCAACAGGCATCGTCGAACGTGATATAAAGACATGATCGAGGAAATGCGGGACGATACCAATGAACCAGTAAACATCTCTCACGATGTCCTCTTTAATAAAGCTGTTGTGACAAATCGTACGACGATTGGCGAAAAGAGAAATTTGTTAAAATATTATTTTATAATTTATTATAAATAATTAAAGATGCTTTATATTTTTTTCAACCGAGATTATTCGCAGTTAAATGAATCGTACTGCATTTAAAGAAATTAATTTACTAACTCGCATTTGCTGAGAACGCTTCTCATTTTTAGTTGTTAACTTACAACTCAAGGTGTATCTAAAACAAACGCAAAGAATTACAAGATCATTTCAGATTTTTGGTCGTCATTAATTTGTGAATTGTGTAATTCATTTCTAAACACCAACGCCACCATGTGCTATAAATTGATACTGAATTAGCGATCTGTTTCGGAAATTATTCCATCTATTATATCCTTCGTCAATCGTCATCTGCCACTCATTAGACATTTTTCTCACGCGCGAGATGTACAGCCGATTCGCTCGAACTCACCCTTGCGCTGGTCCTCGCTGTCGGAATGGAGCTCGACGTCGTGCAGCCTCATGGATTGCACGAATCCTCGCCAGTGACTACGCGAGCGTTCCCTCTCGCCGAGATCGCTCTTCAGGTTCGCCAGCTGCCGGTCGGACTCCTTCAACAGCCCGTTCAGAATATCCGGTCTGTCCAGATTAGAACTCGCTTTAGAATTCTCCTCCGCGCTCGCACCACCGTTCGACGAGTCCTCCCCGCGATCGGGATCGCGGACACCTCCTCGGTCCTCCGACCCGCGGCGCCCGTCTGAAGAGTAATCCGCGTCCTTCCAGCCTCGACTTTTCGAATTTCTTCTCCTGCGAGCGGGAGGACGCGGCTGATCCTCCGATCTCGGGTCTTCCTTCTGCTTCTGCCTCTCCCTCAGGTCTCTCTCCGGAATCTCCTGAAGGATCTTACCCAATGCTCTCCCGTTTGTGTTCCTGCCCGACATCTTGTTGGACACGTTCTTCGGATTGTTACACCGATCCTTCAACGACTCCCGATTGCTCCTGGACGCCTCCAGAAGCTTCTGCGCCAGCAACCGAGTCCTGTTAATCTCCGCGCCGGGCTTCCTCTCCTCCTTCTCCGAATCGCTCCTGATCCGCTTGTCGTTGCCGTTCCTGGACATTGTCCTGGGCGATGGATCCGCCGATTGAAACATCTGCTGGATTTTGAAGATATCCGAGCGGATCTTGGCCGAGGTCGGCGCGTCGTTCCTCTTACTCGAGATCGTCAGCATTAATTCTGCTTTCTGCGAAGGTCCTCTGTAATTCCGCGGCGTCGGCGGTGTGTTCCTCAGCCTCTCCAAGTCCCTCAGGTCCGCCAGGAGAGAGTTGGGAGTCCTCGGTATCCTAGCCGTGCCATCCTCGTAACCCGTAGCGACGCTGCGCGGTCGATTATTCCTCGAGTCTGACCTGCCGATCTTGTCGACCGGCGTCAGCGACTGATCCAGGAAGACAGTCTCGCGGATCTGACTGATGTTGCGCAGCTTGGGCGCGCCGATTTTCATGCCGGTCGTCCTCATGATCACCTTCTCGACCGACTCGATATCCCGCTCGCGTCCCAATCGCCTCTCCTCGATCATCCGCGCCCGATTGGCGTCGATCGACGTCGCGAGTGAATTGTGGTAAACCGGGCCCCTGGCGGACGTGACGGCCCGCGAGTTCGACCCGGGATTGGCGGACCTGCTGCTGCGCAGAGGAGACACCCGGACCAGCCTCGGTGCATCCCTGGGCTCGTCCGTCTGCAAACTGCCCCGGTAGACCATCTTCTCCTCGTTTATTTTAGTCAGTTCTTCTCGTCACCAAAAAGAGCGAAGATTATTCAGAAGGCTGTTGTTCATCTGAAAATTGTAGTATTAATTGAGTACTGAAATTTAACATAGTGTAACATAAAGAAAACGGAGCAACTAATGGCCATTTCTACCAATGTAGATTAACTTTGACTCGGTTTAACCTTACCTTTTATTTTTTTTTTATTTCTAAAGAATTAAGTTCTAAGAATTCTTATAACTAAAAAAAAATAAAGTAAGTTAAACCAAAATTAATGTTAATCTGCACTGATAGAAATAGACATACAAAGATAAAATATAAAAAGTTGAAGGATATCAAGGTGAGACATATACATTCTAATAATGTATAGATTATGTGTACCATTTGATTCTACGTTGATAAGACGAAACGAGAATTTAGTACGCCTCCAGATATAAACGCTGTCTCGAGACGCATAAAAGATACGATTATGGCAAAAGACTCGGCTGTAACGTCGCTCGAGATCGTCATTGAATCGTGAAATGCGCTAATAAAATGTGCTATTAAGATTGTAATAATAACGCCGGAGGCAACTAAAATCAAATCTCCTTCAGCAGGATCGTTAATTATTGCGTAGGTAACGGAAGGATCAAATAGAGCTATAAAAGCAGATTGTCGTTCGAAACGCGGACTCGCCGCTCGCTGAATGATAGCCCTGTTCGCCGATCGATACGCAATGATTTAGCTTGCCACCATGGAATTAGTAATGGCTTGCACGTCAACGATAATCTATGCAAATTACAGCGGTGAAACTCTAACGCCGTTATGGAACAAAGCTCACGCCCGACCGGACACGTTGATATAATTCTAGTTATTTAAGCAAAAAATAAAATTTCCGCTCGCGAAACGAGCTCGAAAACGCATTAATTCGCTCCTTATTGGGTGCGACCCGAGATCTTTTGCAAATTGCATCTTTCGAATCAACATCATTGTAAACGGTTTCAAGGCGGGTAAACTACACTGTTAAATTTGTACTGTCAAATTATACTCAATTCGAGTCATTTTTACCATTCCTATAGATCGCCGCTTCTCCTGTTCGATATGCCATTAATTTAAACAATGTTACCTAATTTAAATAAATCAATGGAGTTAAAATAATACTGCTTTGTGTTAAAATAAATTTCAACACACATCATAATTAAAACTAACAAAATGTTATCTAACTCCAGTATTGGTTTAAATTTCATTTTTTAATATTTAACGAGGGCGAAATAAACACATTTATTCAATATCTATCAAGTTCATTCTTTCCTTTGCGATGCGATCTTTTTTTCTTTCGCAATTTGCATTATTTTTTCTAAACAGTACAAAGCTATGGGAGAGTCCACGCTCTTTTATTAAAATCTAAAAAAATTTTTTACAAAACGCCGTAACAGTCTCCAGAACATTCTTTTTCGAAGAAAAAGGTAAGAAAAAAAGGGAGAAAGGTTCTTGCTACCTGTTGCACTCTCACACGTATCGACGGCAGCGAGTTAATTTGATTGGCGAGACCGTCCGATTTTTGAGTCCCGTTTGTTAATTCACTTTGCACAACGCCCGCTCGATCCTCGCAGCAGTGAGCAGACTTATACGGCGATGAGAAAACACCGGGCGGCTTTTACCGCAAACCCGCCGCGCTCGCCGCGCGCGTCTCGACGTCCACACGTCCGCGTCGGCACGACTCACGCAAGGTCGTTCCGCGGCGTTCGAATATCACCGACCACGCTGAAAATCGCCGTCCCGTCTCGCCGGACGAGATATTAACGTTTCGTTCGGAAAACGCACGTCGTCGGGAGAAACAGCGAGTCGCCGAGTCTATTAATCGACGGGAGCGTGTCGCGGCTCCGGACTCTCCGAAGGACCGTGTCGGTAGCTGCGTTTCATGTGGGTGTCACGCCGCGCAACGCGACGCAACGCGACGCAACGCAACATAACGCATGTGGGCAGTGACACCCGGTCGCACATTTTGCAACGCGCACCTCACGCTCGTCTCTCGTCTCTTAGCGCGCGTGTGGGTGTCGCGCACCGCGCGCGACCGTCCGAGGCGACGAAACGCGCGGCTGCATTCTAATCGCAGCCGGCGCGGCGATCGTGCGATCGTACTCGCGCGCGAAGATCGAGGATTGACAGCCACGTCTCTCTCTTTCTCTCCTTTCTCTCGAGCCGCCATAAATGGCCAGCGGGAGCGATCGGCATCGCGCGGAGCTCCGTGCCCGCGCGATGCCTCCCGCGATCAAGACAGATCGATCATCATTATTATCGACGATTACCGTCGCGCGTGATATAATCCTTTGTGACGTAACGGCTGGACGTGTTGTCTTTGTCACGCTACGTGAGCTTTCGGGCCTCAAAAATGAAGCCAGCCTGCCGCAACTTGCGATATATTCTTTGCTTCAATTGTCAATAATGCATGTAAAGTTAATATCTAACGGACAGTTAATTGGAGATGATAAGATCTACCGGTTCGCATACCTGTTACGTGACACGATACTTACGTATGTTAATGAAATAGTTGCAGCTCGCCGGCGCGAGCACACGGTCCCGCTAGGTATAATTAGGCTCTATATAAATCGCGCGAGTTAACGAAGAAAACAAAAGCGCGAAACTTTCCGAAACGTTTCACGGTAACGGACGTAATTAGGGATAGTGTGCCTCGTAAGTCAGAGATTGAATATACCGTTGAGATTGTTTGGAATTCCTTATTAATTGGTAACGACAAGCCTAATCGCCGGCACAATCGTTTTTATTTTAAACGATCCCGCGAGGACGTTTCCTACATTCAAGAATTTATTCTTTCAATGGCTAACCGTCTGTTAACCGACGACACAATTGTTCAGTAATTCCGATTAATTCCACATGAGCTCGTGTTATTTTTATCGCTTAATCTTAAAGTAAAATAATGACAGGGAAGAAAACTCTTCAAAGAATTGGAATTTAAAATTTCTTTTGTTTTTCATAAAATTCGCGGTACGTTCTACTTAAAATGTCAATCGATTTATTTCTCTCCTAACTCTCTGTTTAAAAATCTTAACCGGATTTTTTTTGTTTATAAAAAAATTATACAACTGATATATAAATAGAAAACTAATTAAATTATTAAAATTTAAAAATGTACATATGTGGATAAGTAACTTCCAAGTTCATATGACGTTATAAAAATCAACGCAATAAGAAGCAACAAAATCGTAAAGAGCCTTTCAAAATTCGCTTTCTTCCTTCAAAGTTGATTTACGTTCTACTCTCACCCGAAAGTTATACGTGCAACTTGAGCGGAGACGAAAATCGCTGATGAACAGTTACAGAAGTACGATTCAAAATTTTATTTTATTTCCCATCTGCGAATCGCATTGGCATTTATCCCGTTCGCTTTAACTGACCGAACAATCATCATTGCCGCCGATGCGTCTAAATCCGCGAATCCGTCACGCTGTGCCAGTCTCGCTCGCACCGAAGAAGGGAATAAACGCGTAAACCTCGCACGCACGTAACGGAGTAAACGTTTCCCGTACACGAGACTCGGCCGAGCAAAATTCGAAATCGTCCATCATACGTCAACGCTTTTTACACTTCCGGCAGCTCGCGAGTTTATCGCGCGCGATAGAAAGAAAGAAAGAGAGAGAGAGAGAGAGAGAGAGAGAGAGAGAGAGAGAACGAGGCAAGGCGAATGACTAACTCGGATTTACCTATTTTATTTATCGTACGATTCGTCTCGTGAGAGGCTCCAGGAAACCGTGAGATTCGCAAAATCTCGTCGAATGGACGAGAATCGCCCCTCTTGCTCCTCGGCACCGCGAGATTCGATAACGGGAAACTCCTGCTCGCTGTACTCGCGATCTCGCGGCCGGTCTCTCTCGTTAGGTCTGCAACAAGAAAATTCATACATTTTTCCATTAGAACGCCATCACGAGCGGGTCATTTTACGGCTTTCCACGCGTACAGCGGAGCGTTGCTCCCATTCTCGCCCGCTCTTTGTTAATCGAGTAGGCCGACGGCAGCGTTGCTCGCCACCATGTCTAACAAAAGTGGACCGATCCGTGAATATGTTAGAAGAGTTATCTACGACGTCGATAATTCAAATAAGATTCAGTTGCATTAACGCAAAACGCTGACCCAGTTTTGCCGCGCTCTCTATATAAGGCGCGCGGGGTTCTCCAACTTCGAGAACAATGAAAGAATGCGTGGATTAAGAGAAACAATCTCCTGATAAGTGTAATAAAAACATAAATAATGTAAAAAAAACAATATGTATATCTTTTGAATATTATTTTCAAAAAGAATTGATTTTTATTGTCTATTACTAGTGCTGGTGCACGGAAAAAAATGATATACTTGCATATACGTAAGAATATACGTAATCTTCTTATAAGAATTTTAACTTTTTTTTTTTAATTGACCTATATAAACTTAATTAAATTATAACTTCGTTTAACTATATAAATGACTTCATTCAAGCAAGTTTTCTTCGTTTAACGCAATATAATCTCATTTCAAGATTATATATTCTTGCGTATATACAAGTATATTAGTGTTGATTTGATACTTCTTTTTTTTCTGTGTAATAATATATTTTCATTTGCCTTGAGGAAGGATGCGCGGCGCAAATTCGTGCGCGCTCGCTCAGAAGGAGAAGATTGCTTGCGAACTGTTTTTCCTCGATTCCTCGTGCACCTAACCGAGAGAGTAATTTGATGTCTACATTTAACCGCCGTGTCTAATAATCGCGGAGTTATTCCCTTCCACTCGTACGTCGCACTTTGATTACGTCGGCGCGGGGCATAATGTGCGGGGATCGCATCTCCGTCAATCTCCGTGTGAAACTTAGCGGATCGACTTCCTCTCTCCTGCGGAATCATAGGTATTCCGAACGGACAGCGAGTGATCCAATTCCGCGTAAGTGGATGAGAACCGTTCCCGTCGTCGGCATTCACGTCGTGTGCAACACACAGCGATTCGTCTCCCAGAAAGTCGTGTAGCGCGCTCTGCACTCTGGTCCCCCGACATCTACGATCCGCTAGCGAAGCCGCTTCTTGCAGGAGGAGAGTGATGTAATCGAGTCAACATAATTTGCCCGCGCGCAACAACAATCCTCGCCGCTATCCACTTAGGGGCCACTAGACGCAAACCGCAAGGAGATGATCCTCCTTGAAAAAGAAGTGATCCAGCCTCTTCAAATTCACCTTGATTTATCGATTGTTAATTCAAAGAGAAACGTATAAAATTTATCTTTTGCGAGGTAAAAGAAAAAAAAAACGCCGCGTGATTTATCTCGCTGCGGAAAACGTTTTCGTGACAGAATTTCGCGATTCGCAAACGAATTGATTTTATTATCGTCAGCCGCGCGCTACGCGATTGCGTAACTTTCCAGTTTCCACGTCGACAACGAGAACGATCATAACGGTTTAATTAAAATTTCTGATCGCATCTACGCTGTACATTACTGCGAGCGCGCACCTCGCGCGGGCCTGCTCTATACGCTTCGGAAGTCGCCGCACAGTCCGACTTCCGTGAGTAACAAACGGGCTGATTTACAAGTCCGCAACGCTTTTTACCTCGTCCTCAACCACTAATTTGTTGCGCAGCTTTTTTCCCCTCCCCGCATAACGGAGCGCGAGCAGATTGTTACATCGATCGTGAGAGAGATCCGCGGTGAATCAACGGATCGATGATTGATTTGGGAATCACATCGAGACTTTCGAATTCCTATCTAAGCGCTCCGCACGCGCGCGGTCTGACCGCTTCGGTCGTTTCTACTGAATCTTCCGATTATGCAAAATCGGTCGCTGGTGTTTCACGTTCAGTTACATTTTATTCGATTACCGTGTTGCTATGCTTTCTCCAGCGCGAATCGTTGCATTAAATCCCATTTGTTCCATTATACATCCGGTTTCTCTTTCATTCGTTAGCCGTCAAAGTTTGAAGCGCGCGCAAAGCAAAAACGGACGCGCCGATGCAGCGCGCCGATAACACGCATAAATTTGCTCTCTTTCGACAATTAAGCTTCTCCCCCATTCGTGATAAATGATCCGCGCGCGCGCGCGATGCAAACTCCGGACGCCAGGAATGCTCTTCCTCCTTCGTAATAATACAATTAGTTCCGATTTGAAATTTCGCTTAATTAGCGCTAATTACCTTCACGACACCCGAGTGATCCTAAGATCGTGAGTCGCCGATTTTCCGCCTTCCGGTCTCCGGGAATGCCGTGCGTTCTTCCTTTCCTCTTATCTTCCCGGACTCGGGCGCGTCCGCTGATGCCCGCGTTTGGATACGCGATACTCGCGATAGCACTACTTAAGGATCTCCATGCACGTGCGGCCAGAAGAAGAGAGCGCGGAATCGACGCGCCATTCGGCACGGTTGGGCTCGCGAAACTTTATCGACGAGAACCGCGTTTCACGGTGTCGCGCGCTGTCATAATTAGCACGGAACCGGGCTTTTCACATCGCACACACGTCCGCGCCGCGGCCGCCGGACACGCGCCGAATCTCCCCCGAAAGTGCGCGCGGAGTGCTCTCGCAGGTCCCCGCAACGCAGTTTCTTCTTCCGATGTAACACGTTTTTTTTTTCTCGCGTGGTATCTTCAGAGCAGAATTATATTTTTAAAAATGACGCACACGTGGCACCGGCTCTTTTAGTCTCTTTTTCTTCTTTTATTATTATTCTTTATATTGCACTCCTTTTTAAACATTTCTGTTTTTATAAGTTTTATCGCAGCTTTTCGTGTTATTATAGTTTACAGTACGTATTTCAATATATTTCTTTGATATATTTAATGAATATAATCCGTTCGGAAAATATCTTCCGAAGCTTTCAACATTCTTAAAGCGTCTTCAACGTTTTTTCTCTCTCTCTTTTTTAAAATATATAACTTAACGTTACTCTTTGCACTTGTCCTCTCAACTCCTTCTTCTCGCTTTATCCTTCGACCTCCTCGGCGAGCTTATCTTCCGGAGTTCGCTGCACTGCTCCTTCGTCGCGCGGCTCGCGTGCGTGCACCACTCGCGGAGAGACCGTCTGCGGCCGCGACCGCACCATGTGCCCCCGTGCCGTGAGAAGCACTGAATGGGTTCGCCAGACACGAAACATAATCGTGTCTACGGCAGGCGGATAGGCCAGCTGTAGGTGCACTACACAGCTCTTTTCCTTTCCATTCCATTCCGCCGCGGCGGCGGCGACGGCGGCGGTGGGGTACCGCATCGCGGCTCCGTGTGCCCCCACTGTGCGTGCGGACACGTACGTACGCAGAGCCCACACCCACGCGGCACCCGGCATACGTGGGTCGCCTCCGTTAACGTTGGCGGGAGATAAAGAAGGAGAGAAAGAGAAGGGAAAAGAAAACGGAGATGATCGAGCGGATTTATTCCGCTATTAATGTAAAATAAATGCGTGGTTGATAAAGGAGGACCGTGAGGAGCAATATTAATCGTGAGAGACATTCTGATTATAATAATAGAAGTAAAAATTGTAAGCATAAATGGCGTTAATAACGTAGATAAATGTGAGGGTACACGAGAGAAAGAGTCCTTCGGAGATGAAAAGTATCTGTTGCATGCGCCGAGGGTCCCCGGTGCTCGCCTATTTTGGGCAAAACCGTGCTACGGCAATTAACCGCTTTTACGATCGGCCGTTTCGCAATGGTACCTGGATCACGACGCTGATCGAGAAATACGGTCCTCTCGGTTTTGACATTGAACGAACGGAGTGTTGAGTGGACATCGCGTCCCTCGCGTGACAAATAAAGCGAGTTTAACAAAAACGAGGAATAACGAACACAGATATTGATCGAAAATATAGTTGCGCAGCGTAACGATCTGAATAGGAATTAAACACTTGTTTTCTTTCGTGTTTCTTTCGTGATACAATCTCGAAATCAGAATACCGGAAAGAATATAAGCACGGAGGATGTATTAAATTTACTTTTAATTATCAGAGTAAATATTTATATTAATATGTAATGTTTAATTTGTGCAAACTAATAATATAACACTATTAAATACTGTATAATAAAATTAATAATAGCGCAACACCTTCGTCATGTTCTGTAAGTATGAATTAATTATTGCTTTCCTGCCGCGTAACAACACATATTACGTCAATTATCTACGACCTACTAACCGAATCGTTTAGCTCGTGAGTGGTGAAAAGAAAAAATTGGTACGCTTATTATAGCGCGGTTTATCTGCGAAAGACTAATCAAGTTATCAGGCGCTGTTTTATGTCTAATAGGACGGTTAAATAATTTCCGATTATATGGCCGCGGCATAATGGGGACAACGACCCACGTTTTTATTGGATTCACGATTTTTATCGTGGTTGATCACTGCCGCTTCCTCTAAAAATCATCAGTCGACGACAGTGTCGCATAAGGACAAATAACCCAGCGTGTAGCTAACACCTTCCTACGCTCTCGGACACGTTAATGAGCTTCGCGGTAGCCGAAGAGGTCTCAGTAGCGGATTTAACTGAAGGGGCAACCGTCAAACTTCTCATCTCGCCGGACGCAAATTATCGTCTCCTTTAAGGTAGAAACCACTATTGTAATAATTAGCACTGGGCCACCTTGGAAACATTGTACTTCGAAACTATTTGAGTGCGTAACAAATATCCGTAATTAAGTAGAAGAGCTATTTAATTCGTGTAATATTCGGCGATATGTTGAAATATCTAGCGATGATACATCTCGCTTTAATATAAAGTGTTTTTATTTTATTTGGATTTTATATTCACAACGAAAATTCCTTTAATTTCCCAATAGCCATTTAGCTATAATTTATAATTCATAAATATGTTTATCCGGACATAATAATAATATATAATATATTTAAATATATTTTATCGTAAAGAGAGAACTTTCTTTATACATATATAAAAATCTTATTAAATTCTAACGAGAAAATGATCCTTTCTTATTTATGTAACGCTAAAAAAAAATCTTAAAATCTTGCACTAAACGCTGTCGAAATTCAAAGGAAGACATCATTGCGAGATTTTACGACTTTATTTTTAGAGCGAGGCTTCATCCGTTGTCATCATCATCACCATCATTGTTTTCTCCGCAACAATCATCGTTACCGAGCGTTATTGTTTCCTGGTTCGTAATTATTGTTATTGTTACGATTGACTGCAGAAATATTCTTTCTCTCTGGTCGGCGCGGTGTAATGGCGTACTGATGGACAAGCCCAGAGATGACACAACGCGACAACAATGGCTACTACGCGCGACGACAAGAGAGAGGCCAGTCGGGGAATCTTGTTTTCCTCTCGAAACGGCAGTCGTCGATCCTTGCGAACGATAATAGACAATTGCGTCTGCGGAGTGCATTTCGAGGCCGTTCGACCGCGCGAAGATGCATCATCAAGTCGTCTCGCAGTGCAGTCGCGTCACCATCAAGTCCCTTTTTTTTTACCGAAGCTTTTCTCCAGAAGTACAGAAAGAAAATGACAAAGCTTATTTGTCATGTTTCCTTCTGCTCTAAATTAGAATTAAAAATTGAATTTGTGAATTAGAAATATTTGGAGTGAGAGTGAAAAACAAATTTAGCAAGACGAACTATAATATTGATGATGAAGTACCGAAAAATTAATATTAAAATTGTAAATATTCGTTTCCAGAACTTTTTGCTGTGTCACGTCGTGCAGCAGCTACGGTTACAATCATCAAGGCCGTGCGGTTGCACGTTTACATTGTCCGAGGCCCGAGGCTACATCCGAAAAGAAAAAACACTTCTTTTCTATTTTGACACGAAGACCTTAGTGTTCTAGGAAAAACACAAATATTAACTAAAAATTCAAAAGAGAAATCCATCGAGCATCTCAACGCGATGGCGTCTTTTATTTTCAAGTTTTATGTTCGTGGAACACTCATGTTTCTCATCAAAAAGAGATAATTGCGACGAAACCGCGACACGCACTACAATATGTTTCACGGGAAAATATTCAATAAATATTTAATATTTAATAAATATTTAATAAATTAAATATATTTAATATTTAATAAATACTTATTCTTTCCCACATAATCGCAATTTAACGGGACCGATACGGTAATAGAAGAAGCTTATTCTCAATGTCACGCTACAGCCATCGCGTGCTAGTCGCGATTAATTTGTCGCTGATTGGTGGTACTCGCGGAAGATGCGTTTATTTCCGTAATTGGCGTAATTGATAATCAATGCCGTCGCTACTAGTCACTAGCTTCGGTGCAACGGTAAAGGCTACTCACGTTCTACACGTATTATACGTATACTGAAGCGGTACCTGTTATACGTATGGAACGGCTGTCGACTGTCGGGATTGATGCGTGCGTGCAGGTTTTTTCTAACGAGGCAAAGGTCACTTCCGGTCAAACAGAAAGCGGAAACGTAAGCGCGTGCTAGCTCGCATCCGTTGCGCCCGCCGGCGGCGAAGCTACGCCACCTGAGTGCCTATCGAATCGACTGCAGCAAGGAACTGCAAGTTGCGGATGCGAACTTCCGTTTGCCGGTAATATTGACAGTGTTATACATTAAAGATTATCAAAGTCAACGAATCAAATATGATAGATGAAACAATAATTTATGTAGACGTAAATTATTGTAACTATTTTAAATAGCAAGTTATAAATGTTAATAATTATCTAAATTATAATTTATAATTATGCAAATATATATTATAACTTTAATAAGAGTTATATGTTACAATGTTAATATTATATGTCACAATGTTAATAATCACCCTTTTGTTTAGGTACTTATAATCTGAAAGTCCTTTATTAATTTATTAGTTATTTAATTATCTACGTTTATTAATTATATTTATTTATGTAATACACGCACGTAACTAATGCACGAGGCATTTTTCCCTCCTCCACGTAAACAAAAAAAATACACGCACGTAATATGCAGCACCGTTTTGCGAAAAAGTAAAACGACAGCAAATTAAAATTATCTGTAAAGTAATTGTTCTTTCCAAAATAGTGAAATATATCTTAAAATGTTTTATTAAACTGTTAATTAAATTGATAAGCACAAATAATATGTTACAAATATTATTTTACAAATAATTCCTTGAATATCCAATATTCCTATATCTATAAGCATTCACAATGGTTTTTTTTTTTTTTTATTATTATGGCCAATATCCAATCGGTCTCGTATTATAAAATCCTTAAAGGTTTAAATTTCTCTCGTTTCCCTTTCGCAACTTATTCCTTACGCCGAGATTATAACTCAATTTTTTAACAGACAATTTGTTGTTCTTAGAGCATCGAGTTTTAAACGAATAATACACTTTCTCGATTATCAAGATAAGAAGTCCCAGGACCATACTGCCCGCCACCATCGTCAGAGCTGGCGTTACATCGCTTATTTCGACGTAACCGTAAAGTACCTTTCTCGGATGATTATCTCGTATGACATACTTGTTCTTTAATTTGTGTATAACGCCATTAAGATGCAATTTCCGCAAGCTGAAAAATATGAAAATATATTTAAAGCATTTATTCTTGAAAAGGGTAAAACAGTCACAAGTAGTTCCATCTGAATATTATAATGCAACTTTTTTTGTAATTTAGTGATTTCAACAATATTAAAATTTAACGATATTCTTGCATCTTTATATAAATATTTATAAGAATAATATATGAAACTTATTAATAAAATTCATTGATTTTTTTATCACATGCATTAACAAACACTCCACTTATAAACATCAGACAATTACGTAGCACAATAAAGGATGGCAGTCTTTTAAACAATAAATGTATATTAATAAATAATAAAATGTATAATCTTTGTGTGTAAATAAATATGTATATTTAGGACTTACTGGTAATTCATGAAGCCAGTGTAAGGATTTCCTTTCGTTAGAGTTATCGCCAAATTGTCGATTCTTCCGGTCTCAATATATACGATGCTACACCGTATATAAATGTTAATAGCCTCTTTAAATACCTCCGTCGTGTAAAACGCTAACTTGTTTTTCTCGCAGAGCTGCGTAAGAATTGACATGAGAATGGTCGACTTAACGAAACTTAACGTCGTTGATTTTATTATAATTAAGTAATATCGCTAACTTTCTCGAATCCCTCCGTCGTTGACAGCGGTAAATACTTTTCTTCTAACAATTCGTACATTTGCAGGAAAACGGGATCCTTGACGTGCTGCAAAATTGCATAGAAAGCATAATTTGAAGAAAAAGATTTTTTTCCAGTTAAGGTAAAGATATAATAACGCGAATTAAAATCAAAGATAAAAATATTTCTTTTTTTTTTTGTAGTTTAAAACTTTTGTTATAGTATCCAAACGTTTTTTTCCATAAATTTATATTTTTTTAAAGGACATAGGTACGTGTCCAGGTATTGGTACACTTTTTATACTCTTAAGCGTCCGAGTATTAGTATTTTTACCTTATAATAGAAATATGATCTCTTCTTTACGAATTTTTGCCAGTAATACACTTACATTATAAGAATAAAAAAAAATTTAAAAACAGTATATATTCTCTACAAAATTAATTCTCTAACGTTTAAAATTATTTTTTCTACAAAAAAATTACTAAACTACTGGTGTATGTCATGTAAAATATTAATTTTATAATGCTTTCAATCTCGGCTACAAGACTGTGCTTTTATTTGCGAGCTCGTTTCAATCAAAATTACTGTGACTGACAAATTACTGTTGCGCGAGAATATAATTTCTGCGCTTTATAAGTAGCAAACTCACAGTAGGAACGTAGTACTCGGCGCTATTTCGCAACAAAATTAATTTGTAAGAGCCATCCTTAACGTAACCCTCCAGAGTGGAAAAAGGTAGTTTGGGCGTACAGAGCGCTAGGAAGCTGATCAACGAGCCAGAATAGATGGCCAGAATTACTATCGACGAAGTAGAAATCGAGAGAAAAGCCAGTCTCACCGGTGACTCGCTGGGAAATTCTTTCCATAAAATATATATACATGTGGGTTATATATATTATGGTGCAAAATATACATATATATGTGTGTGTGTGTATATATATATATGTATATATATATATATACATGGCACATATTGACATACATTAGCATATATTAACACATATCTTTGCATTAATTGCTTAAAACGTGACTAATAATACAAAAATATTATCCTAGACAAATATTAAATATCTCTAGTAACGATGAAACGTTACCTGACAAACCCTGCTGACAGTAAATACCCCAAACCTTAATATAGTTCTCGAGCATTAAGTTCATCGAAAAGTATCCTTTTGTCTTCATGATAGTCAACAGAATAGAAGCGGTTATTATTATCATTAATAATGTTATCCAAGTTCCAAAGCTGAATGCCTGGAATATTTATCGGTGAGGAAAAGCAGCAATTTAATTTACTAGACTTTGTTACCGTAAATCTTTAGCATAAATTATCTTAACACTATATCTTTTCCCAGAGATGTGATTAAACAATCTTAAATAATTGTATTTTTAATTTTATAAATAAACAGGATGATTAGGTCTTTGTGCAGTTTTAAACTTCTATCATTGCATAATTCTATCATTGTTATAAACATTCTATCATTGTAACCAATATAATTAATATATATGCGTAATATATTAATTTTGATCCATACCAACTATTAATACACTTAATATTAATTAATGTATAGGTAGTGTTGATATAAAGATAATTATTACTTTTAAGTATAAAGACCATTGCACAAAGGAGGTGTCAGGCTCCTTAAAATATAGGCGGTAATTCGAGCGTATCAATGGTATCGTATAGTCGATGACGTTTTGTCTGTGAGTCGTCATCGTGAATGCGGAGATGCCGATATCGGCTTCGTTGGCTACCAACTGGCCGATCGCACCTGTCCACACATTTTTCTCTTTGCTCCAGATGCCGAATCCCTCCACTGGATCCAGCATCTCCACCGTGAAGTTCATCACTTTGCTGAGCTCTATTAGCAACAAACCGAAAAATCCGCCGACCGTACCGTTCTCATGCGAGATCAGCGGCGAATTCTTCGTGCATGTATCAACAGAATTGTCAAGTCAGTTTCCAAATCTACGAGTCTATAAATCATTATTAAGTTCTAATATCGACTTCGTGGCGAGGCAATTTTTCTTTAAAAGCGACTATTTTTTATCCAGGTCGCTACTCACGACCATTTTCTAATTCGCAAAAAAAGCAGCGCACAACTGAACTCGCAAGGAGTAAGAGCGAAAAACTTACGATCACGGACGCTACGCGTACAACGTTGCCGAACATGTTGCTCCTCCTAGCGTAGAGGGACTTTCGCGTCCTTAAAAGTAAACCTCTATCGGGGGACCACAAGGCCAGGTCGAACGTTCTGGTGCGATTATCGCGAATGGCGTACCACTCGACTAGAATCGGACGAGAGTAGCAGAGAACCAGCATCTGGGTGCCGAAGTCCACGTTGAATACGTTATCGATAGGATGTCTGCAGCGCTCCTCGAGAGGATTCCCAGGACGCTGAAGAAACATAACGAGCCAAATGGGAAAAGAGATGGGCTTTATGATCCTCGTGGTCTCAGCGAACTCGCCCATGGTATCCTCGGTGTCGAGGAGAACGACAAACAACGGCTGTGTGACGTTCTTCCAGTACTCGTTGTACTCACTCCTCAGGTCCGAGAAAGTTATGGTCACGGTCATGACTCGGTGTCGTGAGAATTCGCGCGACCACGTGTGCACCAATGTCATCGTGTTCAAATCTGCAATATTCACATTGAAGATGGTATTATATTTTACTTGTCAGAATTATCTGTTCTATAAATCATAATATTTAATTTCTTCAAGGATAAAAGTTAGAAATTTTTTATTTAATTACATTTTACTCAATTTAAATCCGTAACGACTAGATAAAAAAGATAAAAAAATTAAAAATATCTTAACGTTAAATAATATCGTATAATATAAAAGTTAAATAATAAGTATAGAAATGAAATGACTTGCACGTGAAATGATGATTCAATATTTGTTCGAAAGTTCGCGGAAACTTTCTTCTCGCCGGCTGGCTAGAAGTGCAGTGTGAGAAATGATAGCCGGAAACTATTACCGGTACTCACCGTGATTGCCAGACCGCACGAAAATAACACACGACGTGCGATAATATCTGTGGACGTCGTTGATCAGTCGGAAATAATTGTTAATGCCTATACTCTCTGTCAGCAGTTTGGTGCTCAACACGAGGAAAAATATTGCGATCGATCGTGCTGTTGCGTATGTCATTTTGCGAAATGTAGATTAAACGGCTACTGTGTAAAGAATAAAATTCAATTTCACGCAGTGGACACTTTGCAATAAATAATTAACGTTTAATTCGGAATAATTGTCCCTCTTGTGAACTAAAACGAACAGATGAGACTGTAGAGAAACACAAAGTAATCGGAATCCTAAGTCCTACTAAAGACAACAGTGAATCGCGGAGTTCTTTATCCAAAAACTTCACAGCGGTTATCGCCGTCGAAGGTTTAAAAGGAAGAATGAGGGTACTGCGATTCTCTCAAGGGCAAAAGCGTGACTGAAGGACGATCATCACATAGAATAATTTATCGGATTTCAAGATCTAGGACTGCGCGCGAAAGAGTGTCACTGATTAATGTGGACGTGCG